TAAGGCAATTAACCTTCTGCAAAAACCTTCATTATGATCTACTGATGAGTGTGTGTGGCTCTAAGAGGTCTCTCTGACACCAAAAGGAGTGTTTACAGGAGAATTCCCAGCATTTGCAAGCTTTTCCTGAACTCAGCTTCTGGAGCTCTGTGTTTGATGCAGAGGTTGTGCCTCAGCCTATCAGTATTGGGAATTGTGTGTGGAAAAAGCTGTCAACATAATACACATCAAAAATTCAAATTATAGGCTGCCTCAGGTAAGCAATCTGTTCTTTAGGTTCCATCTAACCTTCCTGTTGTGTAGTATTTCACTAAACATAATCATACCTGCATGATGATTTAGAATGCTAGGGAGAATCTAGGGATTCACACAACTCTGAAAATCTCTGTGGGAGTGTTGGGGGCGAGTATTCTGTATTTTAATTTTGCAGTACAAAATTGTTTTGGAGAGTTAATTTTAAATGGAGATTTCAGGTGTAACACACTCAAACCTAAATGCAGAGTGTGCACACACAGGGACACATTGAAGGAGGAAATAAATGTTTGGATATAATTTTTTGTTCACTGTAGCAATTACTGGAATTACTTGCTGCTTTGGAAACTGAAGATTTTTCATGTTTGCTTGTTTGACTTATGTTTTTTTCCCACTGTTGACTCCAAGAAAGCGTTTTGCATTGGCCTTTCTGACTGCTGAAGCAAAGCTTAGGTGGCATCTATGGTGTACAATGCTGCTCTTTTGTAAAAGAGATGTTGAATATCTGCTTTTCCTCTTCTAGAGAAGCTGACCCAAATTGAGCCTTTGTAATGGAATTTACAGACATGCAGAACAGTGGCAATAACTAGGAATTAATTTGTTGAAATCTTGGCTTCCCAGGTGCTGTGACGAATGTTGAGATTGTTTAAACAAAATAAAACACCCCTTCAAACAATGATGCCGTTTGTAACTTGAATCTGTTGAGAAATTATCAGTGCTGGACACTGGGTCTCAGTGGGACCCTCATGCAGATGTAGTGCTTAGGGTACAGAGCTTGCAGGAACAATTCTTTGGAAGTTTGGACAATGAGGGTTTTACACACATATAACTTGCAAAATTTATTATTCTGTCCCTACCCAACCCTCCCAAGGATAATTTTTTATGCAGTTTCCATTTGTTTCTCATTTAGATCTTAACAGCTGCCAGCATGCTCTACACTTATACCACCTGCTATCTCTCCAAAGTACATCTATCTTTTTTTTTTTTTTTTTGGCAATACATCTGCAGGGAATGAACCTTAACTTGTCAAAGTTCATAGGCGTTATGGAACATTTTAAGGCATTCTGAGTGATAAGTGAGTAATGCCAAGTAAGATGATGGAAATTGCTCCTGTTGGCTGCCAAAAGCTAGTAGGGCGTAGCCTCTAATACAGTCTGGTGCCTGCAAGAAGGTGGTTTATTTTTAAAATCTGTTTTCTTCAATTTAGATATTGAAAGATGAAGGCTTATTTTCCTCTCTTCCAAGAAAAGTTTGATTCCTAACATCTGTAGAGCAATTACTTGCATAACAGACTGTACCCAAGTTAGTCTTCTTTCTTAAAGCCAACATATCCTTTTGGTTGTGTTCTTCCCTGCCCCTTTTTCAGTGTTGTACAGTGTTTCTTTCCTTTGCCCTGCAGCTCCTCAAACCTCAGTGTAGCTGTACCGCGTGGGTCAGACCCAGTGAAATGCAAGTGCTTTCCAGGATTTGCCCAGCAAGGATGTGCTCCTGGCAGTCAGATTTGGTTCTGGAAAGTGCTAAGGTTAAGGAGGTGCAATAAAACAAGTCTAGAGGGAAGTGCTTTGCTGAATCAGGGTTAACAGAGAGTTTTGCTGCCTCAGCCTTCTTCAGACTCATAATTTCTCACAGCTCCATTTACCTTGTTGAACTGGTTTTTGTGTGTGCTTGCCTGGATGGGTTTCTGAGTTTTGCTCACTTTCCAACTCAGCTTTGGAGGCAGGAGCTTGAGGATGAGATTAACAAACTCCTCCAAATATGTGGAACTCTTGAAACCCTGTGCATTAGGGTTGTAGCCCTTGCTTTACAGCACCAACACACACATCTGTGGTGTGGCTGGCTCCTTGCCTACTGCTGGGGAAAGACACAAGAGAATCAAGCCCTTGGCAGGTTTGTGTAGGGTTTGGGATTGCCAGAACACGAGCAGCTCCGCAGGTGTGCAGCCTCTGGCTCTCTGTGGAGGCAGCCGGGAGATGCAAGGCAGAAGGGCGCTGACAGCCAGAGGGGCTCAGGGGTCAGGGATTGTTCTACCCGGCTGGGGCAGCCGAGCCTTTGTGGAACACAGTCCTTGCCTCCCGACCCGGCGCAGAAGTGTCCTTTGCAAATGAAAGGCCACCCACGGCTCCCTCGGGCTGGGAAACACAATATCCACTGGACCCTTTTCTCCCCCTCAGTGGCAATAAATGGCAGCAGTAAGATGGATTTCTTGTCAGCAGAGCTGGGAGAGCACATGGTAAATTAAGGACAGCAGCGACTCTTGAAGAGCGAAGGTAAAGGGGTGTGTCTGTTTAAAAACCTGATGCAGTGCAGTGCTATGAGGTGTTTTGAACAGTGTGGTAAGGGCATGAATTTGACCTATTTCTGTGTATAACAAATAACATGCTTTACTCTACAGCAAATGTATTTCAGGAAAGCTCACTGACCATGTCTTTATTCTAATGATTTTACTATTGCTTGGCATGTGTTCCTTCTTCATTGGTACTCCATGCTTGATTAATTGTTTCACAATGCCACGAGCTTTTGGCATTTGTCCCACAAACTTAATGAATTATCATACCTTTGTTAGGATAATGTCATGTTCTGTTTTTTTCTGGAGTTAAGGGATGCCGCATTCCCTTCCTGAACCAATACCTAGGTACGGCCAGCACTGTTAGTGGTGATCAAAGAGATACCCATCTTCCTTCTACAGGCCCTGCTGTAGATGCTGTAGGTAATTTTTGTGGCAATGTATCAGTATCTGCACCTTATCCAGAAATAATGTTGCTTCATGCTTGAAACTTCTGGGTCTTTTTTTCTTTCTTTTTTCTTTTTTTTTCCTTTCTTTTTTTTTTTTTTTTTTTTTTTCCTTCCTTTTTTTTTTTTTTTTTTTTTTTCCTTCCTTTTTTTTTTTTTTTTTTTTTTTCCTGTTGAAATATCCTTCTGGTCGACATGTCCAGATACAAGTAGGTCTATAAGCAGGTGAGAGGGGACTTAAAAGAAACATAATGTACCCACAGCCTGTGCTTTACCACTGATGCCTGAGGCTGGTAGCTGGCCTTTTCAGGAGTTCAGAATTAAGTAACAATGGCATCCAGGCTGCCTGCACGCCTTAGTTTGTTTTTGGTTTTTTTTTTGTTTTTTTTTTGTTTTTTTTTTTTTTTTTTTTTTTTTTTTTTTTTTTTTTTTTTTTTTTTGTTGGATTTGCATTTCTGTGAAGTGTTTAAATCACAAGTTTCATCTCTGGAGAACTCCATTCTCATCCAAAGCATAGGTAGACATGAATGGATCTTCAAATATTATATACAGCTTAAATACCCTGTGGAATGATAATCACCTGTAGGAAGCCTTTCTGGATAGGTTTTTAAGACAGACAGCTCAATGGTGCATTCTGAGCTTATGATGAGCTGAAGAGCACAAAGAGCTTATTTTATTGATTTTTTTTGTTTGCATTTTACTTAAGGGAGACATTTTCCTTCATTTGCAATACATCTTACAAAGACAATGTAATAAAAGAGGACACTTGCATCCCTGATTAGTGAATAGAACCAGGTGAGAAAAGGTGATTTTGGAAACAAACATGAGGGAGGAGTCAACAGGTGACAGGACATACTGTGACAGAAAGCTTTCTTTGGAGAAACGCTGATTTGTCAGAAGTACAAGTGCTTTTGAAGGAGGGCAGGTAGAAGACTGCTAGAAACTTTGGGTGAAAGCAAGCAATTTTTTCTTCCTGGAGAAAGCTCAGCTGTTGTGGAAAATCTAGAGAATTTTTTTTTTCTGCCTGAATTATTTTGTTCTGCCTGAAAGAGCTGATATGAATTTTATTTAATCTTCGAGGAGATCGCTCAGACTCGAGAGTCCCATAAAGGTTATCTGGAATAGGAAAACAATCAAGTACAAACCCTCCTTCTGGTATCTGCCAAGTACTTTGACACAAGTTGTGTTTTAAACCAGAAAAGTAGGAGGAACGTAATGTTGTTGCAGTGTCCGTAGAAACCTCAGCCACACACAGTTGTGGAGAAAAGTTGAAGGGATCTTGGATGAATGTTTTTTGCCTGCTGAATGCTTAGTTAATTCCTAGTTAAGAGCAGCTGCAGGAGTAGTTTGTGTCTATAATTGTGCCAAGAAACACCCAGAGCAAAGGACAGGTATTGCTGCTTTCCGAGCGCGTCTGCAAACCGCGGCCAGGACCAGAGCCCAGCAGAAGCTGCATAACCAGCTCCATCTGCGCACAACAAACCTTTCCCCAAAGGTTTCCTAGCCTGCAATTCCAGCTCTGGCTTCAGCAGCGCGCTCAGGACTTCCCTTGCCGCATCCGCGCGGGCACCTGGGATGCGTGCCTGCAGCTGGCCGTGCGCTCCTTTCGAAGATTTGGAAACCCCCGACATGTTGAAAAATTCGTGTCGTTTTATTCTGTCCTTCTAAAACCAAAACCCCGCCATACTAATAATGATAATTATAATAATAATAATAATAATAAATAAACCCTAAACAAACCAGCAGGTAACTGAAGCAGACCCGCAGGAGCACCCGTGGGGCGGTGGCGGAGGGCACGGGCCGGGCCGGGCCGGGCCGGGCCGGGCCGGGCCGGGGCTGCTCCTCAGCCGGCCCCTGCCCTTTCGCCCCGCTCGCCGCAGGCAGCGCCTCACGAGGGGTCCGGGCCGGGCCCGGCCCTCCCGCCGCCCGCCCGGGCAGAGGCCGGGCCGTACCACGAGCGCTCGGCCGGGCAGGGGGAGGCGGCGGGGCGGGGCGGGCCCCCCTCCCTGCCGGCGGCCGGGGGAGGGCCGGGCGCCCGGATGTCGATCAAAATGAGCGAGCCCCAGCCCTGCGCTGGCCGCCCGGGCGGGGGGAGCCGCAGCGCGGCGGCACCGGGCTCCGGCGGGGAGGCGGCCGGCACATGGGCCCGCGGGCTTTGGCAGCGGGGTAGAGCCTGGACAGCTGCGGACGGAGCTCATGGATAGAGGACGTTTGGCAGGATAACCCCGCGATGGCTGCCCAGTCGAGGTACGGCACTAAATAACTTTGGTCGCGCCCGGTGCATCTCGCTTAGAGCTGGGTTTGTGATGCCCTGGCTCCTGCCCGGGCTCGGTTGGCTGTGGGGTTTTACCCCGAGCCCCCGGAGGGTTTTGTCCTTGCGTTTTGTTCACCGCCGTGCCCGTTCCCTCTTCCCAGCGTAAACTTTCTTCCAGCAGGAAAAACAAAGTCTTAATTGCTCCCCGTCAAATCTTTCCCAGTCCAACAAGTTAAAAGCGCCTTGAAACTGATTTCCTTTTTCTCCCCCGTGGGCTTGTCTGTTTGAAAGCTCTTTGATTCTCTTCTCCCCTCCAGCCTTGTGTGGCGTTTGTTTGTCTCCGTTGGCCCGTGCCAGCCGGGCGTGAGCGGGTCTGTGTCCCGGCTTACAGCCCCGCTTCCAGAGGCGGGCAGGGGCTCTGCTCGGCCGGGCTGCAGGGCTGGGGCAGCAGGTTGTGTCTGCTGGGTAGCTGCGAGCATAGGAAATGGTTACAGCAGGGAAGAGTACGGAAATTAGTTACTTAGTTGCTGTCGGTGAGCAAAATTCAAGCGAAAACACCGATCTTGGGTAAATACTTTTCAGCTGTGGTTTTAAAGAAGCAGCGTTTTGCCCGCTCTCGGGGGAGTTGGGGAGCGTCCTGCCTGAAGTTAATTTCACACTCAGCATGGGGGTGGCAGCTTTTCTTAAGCAGTAGTACTTGATGGAGCAGTGCTATTTAAGGTACCTGTTAAGTGCCTTTTAGCGTTTACGATGCCTTAATGGGCATTTCAGAAATGCCAAAGAGAGAAATTCCCTTTTGCTCTTTAGTCCCACACCAAACAGCCACCCTGCTCCCCTTTCCTGCAGGCAGGAAAAAAAAACCAAAAACGGTGATGTATCCTACACATAAGTTTGGCACTCAAGGTGCATTTTCACAGTGGTGCTTTTCTGCAGGTTTGAAGCCAAGAGCTGGCTTTAAATTACAAACTGGAGAAGGACAGAGCCCTGCGGTTTGGGGAAGCAGGGGAAGATTGATTGCTTGGTTAACAGCTGAGCTCTTCTCCAGCTTCCATGGCCTACTCTCCCAATACTGGGAGCATTTTGCATAAAGAGTACTTAACAAAAAGGTAAAGACTGAGTTCCTAACATCTTTTTTTTCCTCCCTTTGTATCATCCCTTTGCATGATTTACTGGCCTGCATTATCAGCGCTGCTGTAATAGGACCACATGCTGGATGCAGCATAAATCCTAGGGATGCTGGCTGGCCCTGGAGCTTGGCTTGGCTCCAAGGCCAGGGACATGCCTGGTGTCTCAGAGGTCGCACAGCCATTCTGCTGGGTGGCAGGAGGCCACGTGGGAGCCGGGTCCCAGCACTAGCCCCCAGCTGCAGCCGGCCGGCCAAGAAAGGGCAGAGTGGTGCTGGGGCCAGTGAGCCCACATCCCTGACCCGAAGGGTGAACGGCGCACAGAATCAGGTGTTTCAGGCTGAGAGGCCCAGACTGAAGGCAGGAAAATGGTCCAAGGGCTGGGACCGTGGGGCTGAATTCTTCAGGGCAGGTGGAGGGACTGTGCCCTACACCTGCTATTTGAGACAGACATGGGGACAAGACATGCACCTGCCATTCTGTACCCTCCTTCCTTCTCCATCCTGTGTGTTGGCTTTTGCTTTTGTCAGGATACTGTGAGGTGCTCAAGCTGTAAAACTGTGTCAGAGCATTTCAGCACAGCGAGTACAGAGGTTACTCTGTACGCCTGAAGATCAGTGTTAAGATCTCTGATTATTACTTGTTTTAAGACATTTAAAGAAAATAGGAGTGCATATGAGCAGCGGAAATGAGTCTGTAGGAGAGGTTGCATTTGCCAGAAGGCCTGTCATGTTTCCCTTTCAGTAGCATAGATCTGCAGAGGTATTCATCCCATTTTAAAAATATGTGCTTTGTGGGTGTGTAGAAGCTTTTATTCAGTAGTAAAGGATAAGTTGATATTCACAGTAAATAATTAGAACTCTGCTGCATGGGACTGAGAAGCCACATGTCTCCAGAATTCGTTTTGCCAAAACATATCAGAGGGTTTACTCTGCAAGGTAGCTGACAAAAGAAATGACTGAGCTTTCTGTGTTTATTTGTGCTTTGCAAAAAAAATACAGGCAATTTTTGCAAGCTCAGTAAATTACTGATGAGGTGTTGTGATATTGAGCTCAGTAGTGGTTTGTGTATCACTCTGTACGAGGCCTTCAGGTGCTCCTCCATCTGCTCACGTTTTCTATTTCTCACATGCTGTTTGCTTTAGCTAGTGAAAGTGATGTGACATAGGGGAAGATGCTTGTTTGGAAACAAAAAAATTCAGCATCCTTTCTTCACCTTCAGCGCTGTGATTCTCAGCAGCTCACCTGGCATTTGGGCTTCACAGTTTTGAAGGGTGGAAAGGTAGGGAAAACGAGGGGATGAAACCTACCTGTTGCTGCTCCTTAGCATTTTAAAAACTGTAGTGGTGATAACTGAGGAACTGATGTGCTAATGGATGCCACAGCATTCTTTAAAATCCTGATCTTAAGAAATGCTTGCCGGGCGAGTTGGGCATGGTTTGGTTTCAGCTCTTTGAGAATGATCAGCTTCTCCCACTAGCTGCTGCAAGTAGCTTACATCTGGATATATTTGGTGGAGAAACCATCCTCCAGTTAGCTTTTTTTTTGTGTATAATGTGCCGTTATGGGGTTTTTTTAAGTTGCTCGCTGAGCCGTTGGTTTGCAGTTGTAGCTTTCTATGTGCTCGCTTCTGGAGTGCACAGATGATCTGATGCCTGTGGTGTCCCCAGGCAACAGGGCTTGTGTCAGGTTTTTATGATATGTTCAGCAGCTTGCGAGCAGGAGCAGAACTGATCTGAATAAGGACAAATTTAGTGTCTTGTCGACTGTGGTGTGATGTTCATCATGTGCCATTCAGCTGCTCTGGGAATACGGCAGGGCTCTTGGGAGGAGTGTGGGACAGACTGACAGAGCTCATCTCATTTCTGCTTCTTTCTTCATTAAAATATCTGCTGTGCTGCAGCAATTGCAAGCTAAGGGTCTTTAGATGAATATCTGCCTTTTTTTTTTTTTTAAGATGCAGGCTGCTTTTCTCAGGCTGCTTGTGGTCATTTTAAATTGTCTGTAGAAGCTGTCAGTCACACTTGTTTACAGTAAGAGGATAAACAAAATACTTTGTTGTTTTGGATGCTAAGAGTTTTGCTAAGTGTTTGAAAAACACTTGTTTTTCAGTGTGGTCATGGTTAGCATCATTTCTGGTGTGCAGAATGAATGCATTTTCCAAATCTTTGTACATAGGTGAATACAGTACACAGTCAGAGCAACATGAAACCTGAGTGTTGTGCTGTCATCCCTGCTGGGCTTATACTGCTCTTTCTCCTGAGCCAGCCCTGCAGGGAAGGGTAATGATGGACAGCAGCCTGGGAAACCCTCTGTTTCCACCCCCTAAAGCCAAGTTGTACCAGCTAAACCCAGAAGAGTCTTGAGAGAAGACTGTACTGCCTATTCTGGTAGAAAAAAAAGGTGATCCTTTGCAGAAATAAAATGTGGCTTTATCTATATTTAAAACACAGTACATTTTGAGGGGAGTAGTGCTGAGGCTTTTCCCTGAGGAGAAGCTATGTTGAGTGATGCAGCTTTAGTTTATTCCTTGTAATTTCACAGCTTTCCAGGCCAGATGTAAAGATACTTTTCATAACTTGTTTGTTTCATGGGTCCTGTTGATACAGGCAAATGTTGGTTATTCTGGGGTCCAGTCAAGGATGGAGATCAAGAAGGGCTGAAACAATATGTTGTTGGAGTTTACTAGTCTATTGAAAGCTAAAACATCCCATGAAACCCTGTTGGTTTTGCTTGCTACTAGCCCTGCCTAGAAATACAGACCTGTTTTCTCCAGAACCAGATGTCTGGATGATCTATGGCATGTTCTGTGGGCTGCTGAGGATTTTCAGTTTGCAGTTCCTTATTGCCTGGACTTTCTGAGTGTGGAGTTGCTCTGAGGCAGACCTGCAGCTGAAATGCTCCCACACAGAAGACAGAGATGCTCACAGGGAAGTGGATTTTTCAGGTTGGTTTGGTTTTTTCAGCAGTGAGTATTCCAATTTGCAATAGGCCATTGAAAACTTTGACATATATTTGTCATGGTATACTTGAGCTGGTATACAAGGGAATGTTTCCTTAGGTCATGTTATTTTCCTGTGTCTGAGTCTGTGTTACAAAGAGAGGCCTCTTCTCACAGCTTTTTATGAGAAAATCATTTGCTAGTATAACTGCAAGATGCAGCATGAAGAGCAGGAAACAAGCTTTTAATGAGGTGCATAATTCTCCTCAGCACTTTTCTTTTGAGAGGAACCATAGTGAATGATACATGAAGCTTTTAAATGCCTTTAAAATATAATAGAAAAGGTATCTCCTTAAAGTTATGTGGGATTGCTACAATGACATTGTTTTCCATGAGGTGGAGGGCAGTGGAGTGAGGAAGAGCTCTCCACAGAGTGCAGGGTGTCATCCTGGGGACTGGCTTTGGTGCTGAGTGGTTGGAAGTGCAGAGTTTGCTTACCTGATATGACAAAAGACTTACTGTAGAGATGCATGAGCCTCAAAAAAAAAATAGATAAAGTACTTTTTCTGTTCAGTCTTGAACGCAGCCTGGAGCTTTTTTTCCCCCGTGGTATGTTATAGTGGAAAATGTACTGGCTATTTTATGTTTTGCAATTTTGGCTGCTGCAGTTCATCTGTGTCCATGATAAAAAAGAGAAGAGTGTGGGACTGGCTGGGGCAATTATCACTCCCGAGTGAGGTGTTCCCATAGTAGATTAAGATAGAGCTGCCTCTCCAGCAGAATGCTTTTGTGGGGAACAGACAGGAGCTGCTGCGTGTGCTAGGAGAAGATTTTCCACAGTTGCCTATTCATAGACAATTCAGGGAAGTGAAGTTGAATTCTCTATCAGTACAGAATCAAGCAGCTGTGGAAAGTGGTGAGAGGTAGAATTCTTGTAGCCCATCTTCCCTCTAGCTGTGGTGCCTGCTGTGTGCAGAGCCAGCCCCCAGCTCAGCTCTTCTGCTGCTGAGGTGCAGAAGTTGTTGATCACCTTATTGAACTGCATGGCATTGTAAAAAGTGCATTTCTTTTGGTGCCTTATCCTTGTATAGGAAGGGGGAGGTGGCAAGCGGGGAGAAAGAGCAGGTGTGTGGGCACAAAACTGCATTTGAGAAGTGCTCTGTTCCTGTTAATGCTTCAGAATTGTCAAGCTGAGGTATCTAGGCACACTTGATTAGGCAGTCTTCGTCACAAATGCTTCAGGAATATGTTTGTCTTCTGGATTAGTTTAGGCTTAGATATTGTTTGTAGAATTGTCATTTTCAGTTGTTCTGAGTGTTTATTGTACTAGCAAACTAAAGTTTTCCTTTACTGTTGTTTTTGCAATGTTACATCAGGTTAAGAGAAATAATGTCCCTGCTGTAATTTTTAGAGAAAGTTCAACAAGCAAATTGTTAATGGTTAACCTCAGAGACAACAGCAAAACTAATTTTCAGAACTGCAAGAACTGTGGGTTTCATTTTGTACATGCAAATAAAAAAAAAAAAAAGAAGCAACAAAAACCAACCCCCAAAACACATAAAAGAATAACAAATAACAAAAACACCTCTAGTTCAACCAAAACCTGAGTAAGAAGTATTTTAAAAAGAAACAAAAGAGGAAATTCTTGAGCATATGCTAGTATTTTTATTCCATATATCTTTGCTTCTTAGGATAGTGTATAAGCTGTAAGCAGCAAGTGATGTATTCAGCAGTGTGTGATCAGCTCCTTCATGGCACGGTGTTTAGCAGGTGGTGTGTGCATGTGGGGTGTGTGAGAAGCTCCAGTGCACGTGCCTCCTCCCTGAGCTGAGCTGTGGGCGCTGCATTTTGCAATGCAGGTGTCTGCTTGCATCTGAAATGGAAAGGAATTATTAAAATGTGGAGCAGTAAAGGGGTATTTACTTCTCTGGAGAACTGGAGACGTGATAAGAAATTGCTTTTGGTTTTTTGTTCTTCTGCAGTTTGTAAGGTTTTGCTTAAAAAGATATTACTGGCATAATTAATCTTTTCAAGCACAGCTCAGAAACTCTCCCTCGTAACTGGTATGCAGCTATTTCTCAATACTCCTCTCCCCCCCTGCCCCTGTAGGCTATTTTGGAAAAATCATCCTAATCTGAAGGCAGAGAATATTCTGGCAGTTTGGAAATGCTTTGGTGACGTGCTTCTCTTTTCCCTGTCCCCACAGCCCTCAAAAGAACGAGCTGTTCTAGGAAAAATTGTTTTCTTGATGTCAGTAAACCTGTGGCTCTGCTGAGAACAGGCTGTCAGTCTAGAGACCTATTTCTTCTTAGCTTTACTAAAATAACACATGCTAACAGAAAAAGAGCCTGGCCTGTCCCTCTGTGCTGCAGAGCAGGGAGCTTTGCTTGGATTTTTAGAAGACTCCCTTAGAATTCTTAGCCACTACCTGGAAGCTGCCATGTGTGTCTGTCTGTCTGTCACTGCAGGCCTTCTTTACTGTGAAAGTGCTGGCACAGCTGAAAGGCAGCAAATGCACTGCAGAGGTGAGATAACTGTGTTGGCCCAAGTGTGAGCTCTGTGATACTGGTGAAGAAGGCTGCTTTTTCTGGCATATGGCTTCTGGGAGGATGGCTATGGGATGGTGGGTGCAAGCTGTGTTAGCCAAAGAGCTCTTTTGGGCCAGCGTCTCCCTTCTTTGCTGAGATCTGCAGCTCCCTTGCAGCAGAGTGGCCAGGTTTATCCAGCAGTTAACTTTTAATTGGTCATTGGCTTGATTTTGGGTTTCTGATTTAATGCGTGATATTCTGGAACTTTCATTCTGGAAGCAAGATGAACAAGTGCCTTAATATTTAAAGGGAATGTGATCACTTTGCTGAGGTTTTGGAACACCGTAGGTGATCTTTATCTGTTTGCAAACCCCTATCCATTTTACATGGACTGGCTTCAGCAAGCTAATAATAGGCTCTCTTTGCTTAGCTGTGTTTGTGGTCCTTCATAGAGGGAATGCCTAGTTCTGTGTAATGCACTACAGGGGTAAAAAAACCTACTAGTCCTAGAGCATAGGAAAATTCTCTGTAACCACCCATATTGGGGAGAGAGAAAAATAGGTAAAATCATGTGCTGTTCTTTGAGAAGGTCTAATCTGCTTTTAGAAGCACTGTAATAATGAGATCTATTATTCAGAGACCTGGGGTACTTCTGCCATTGCAGAAGTTGATTTGTATGATGAGGAATTGAGAACAATAGACCTAAATAACTTCCTAAATTGGCTGGGAAAATTCAGTAACTCAGTGTTTTACATATGAAAAAAGGCTTGGTCATTTAGTGAATTAAGTGGCACAAAGCTTTCCCTTGCTCTCTATTTACTTGTAATAAAAATGAAGAGTTTAGCCAAGGATGGGAGAAGAAAAAACATTAGCAGCTTCCGTGTAGAATTTCCCTCTGAAGATGCCTTTAACTATTTGCTGTTGTTCCCTCCTCCTTCCAAACCAGTTCCAAACTCTTAGTGGGCTGGTGAGATGACTTCAGCCTTGGTTTTGGTTCCAAGTAAGCAAGCCCCCAAGTGGAGTTTCTGTACCTACCTGAGCATGTCACTGATGAGTATTGCTGTTGTTTGGTGGCATGGTGCACTGACAGTGCAGCTCTGCACGTGTAGGACCACAGTGGAGAAAAACAGATGGATGAAATTGCCAGTCTGCAGAAATTGATAACATTAAAACTTGGCTCCCAAGCTGGTTCTTCCATTACTTAAAAATGTGAATTGGTCTGGTTCTTAATGATTTGGAGAGGGTGTTTTCTTTTCAACTCAGTTAAGTAAACTGGATGAACTGACCAACAGTAAATAGGTTTCTTGCATTACACATCCCTTCTTGCTGCATGTTTGGAGTGACAGAGAGAATTTATGTGCAGGGAACCAACCTATTGCTGTTTCTTCCTCTTGCAGTATAGACAGCTGATGTAGTGTAGCACTGTGTTTCACAGCCAGAACCTCCTTTCTGTAATTCTTGAATAAATGAAAGCAGTTTGTAATTATTGCACAATCTGGTAATTGCAACCAAAACCTTCCTGGGATCTGGTTTGGCAACTGTATTGGTGTGTGTTGATGTTTTGCAATTTGAACAACTTCTGAGAGAATTTATTGTGAAAACTGAGGAGCTGTGCATATTAAACAAACCCTACCAAAACACCCCAAATCAAAGATGGTAACCATACACACACAGAACTCCCCATCCTGTAATGCTTATAAAGCCCGACGCAGTCTGGGTTAATTTTTAAATCTAATGAACATTCAGTTGACATTCTGTTTAGGCTGAACATTGACCAAATACAATGGTTTCAGTTCTTAGCTAGAACTGACTTTGGTGTCTGTGCTGTACTTAGTTGTAAAGAGACACGTATGGAGCTCACGGTGTCTCAGCCAAGGGTCCTGTTTTCAGTACTGTTTCCACTCAGCTCCCTTAAGAGTGCTTATTCCTGTATCTTTCTGATTTGGCCATCATTTGTGCTAGTCAAAACAGTAGAAAGTAGGAGAAAATGTCCTATTTTCAGCTATAGCAGGAGAAAACATTGAAATCCTGTTTGAAATCCTGTCCCCATGAAAAAGTCTGATAGAAATGCCATATAAAAGATGGTATTATGAAGAAAGCTCTCTTCTGTGTCCCAACCCCATCTGCTGGGCAATTTCTTCTTCACTTCCCTGTTCCTTTGTTTATCGATTAAGCATCAAGTTAATGGTTTCCTTTTGTAAAAATTGCTTCCTTGAAAATGGGCCATCTCCTCCCTCGCAGCCTAATTACTGAAAAGTACAGATGATATTGATATAAGCTGTGTTTACTTTAATGTAACAACTTGAAAGGCTGTTTGTGTACAGTAATCTGCCAAGTGAATAATGGTTTGATTTTACTTGTTCAATATTTCTTTCTTTCCCCTGGAGAGGGGGAGGTCTGAACAACCAGTAGCAGTTGCTGAGGTTAATAAGATGCATTTAAAAGGTCTTTAATTAAGCCATGCAGTTTTCTTAGAAGGCCCTTGAACTATTCTTTCACCCCTTCCTCTTCTGTTTCACGTGGGTGAGTGCAAATAAGATGGGAGTGCAAGGGAGGTGCAGGCACTTACTAGATACAGATCTAGGATCCAGCTTACACACAGCAGAGTCTCAATGGAAAGTAGGAAACCAGAGGAGAATTGAAATGGTTTGTGTGAGTTCAGCTGGCCAAGGGTGTGCTGAAAGCTGAGGCAGTGGTGAGAATTGATGTGCCAGGGCTCAGCAGGGTGAACACACAAGGTGTTGTTACAGCTGCTGCTCCAAATTTTATTGGTTCCTCTGGGTTTTTCTGTGCTGTCCTCATTTGGGGCCAAATTGTAGCCTTCAGCTTGTACACTGGGTTCCAGCTGGTCTACTCCTTCCATATCATTTGAGACACTTAAACTGTGTATTATAAGGCAATGTTGTACTTTAGTGAAAAGAGGAATTTATGCTAGTATCTAATTTTCTAGTTTCTTTTGGCTTTTAAGTTTTCAAGTCCACTTGAAAAGGATGTTCCTGATAAAGAGCTCTGCTTGAGCTTGTGCTCAAAAAGAATTCTCGACCTGGAGCTTTTACACAGAGAATGGGTTTTGCATGTGTATAAACAAGTGCTCAAAATGGATTCCTGATTCACAGCTTGAAACTGAGGAGTGACAGAAAAAGAGATGTAGAAAAGGGAGGGATGTTAACCATACAATTTCCTGTGTTCTTTCTCTGTTGTATGCATTACTACAAGAACCACATTTCTAAGCAGGGCTGTTAAGTGAAAAAAATGGGGAGTTAAGGCACAATTTGCTAGTTGGGAAGGATACTAAGAGCTGTTCTGAGGATTAATGGAAGTTTCAATAAGAATAGAAAAATGTGTAAATAGTGAGACTCTTTCCTTACTCCCTTTTTTCAACTGGCTTCCAGAAATATTTATGGCAAGTTTTACTTTGCAGAATTTTTTTCTTTTTTTCAGCCCGTGTTTAGTCACTGTGGTAATCAAGAAATTGGGCAAGATGGAAAAGTTACTGAATGTGTTAAAAAGTGTGTGTGGAGAATGTTATCCCGTGGTTCCAAATTACTATGATCAACTGGCATTTTCTTGAAAATACCTAGCTTTCTATAGATGGCTTGGCTGGATGTTACCTGGGTTATGTGAGGTGCCAGCTGCTGTTGGGGGTGTTATTCATTCTGTTTGTGGATGTTTCATTCAGTGAATTTCGGGGCCAGCAAGAGAGTATAGAGAGATGAAGCAATCCTGAGTCAGCGCATCCCTGTGACGATGCAGGAAGCTGTCTGCTTGGATACGGGTTGTTCAAGGGGCTTTCTGTGCTTGGCACTGAGTGTAGCTCTGGGCAGGCAGTCAGGGGGTGAGGAAAAGTCCAGCAGCCTGCATGTAAAAATGTAAAACCTTCTCCAGGGGTTTGGTGCAGTGGTTCCTGTAGGGCATCCGCCCTGTTCCTCGGTGAGCAGAGCACACACCTCCTGCCTCATCCTGAGGGCAGGGAGTGACTGTTGTTGGGAACATGCGTGGGAGGGAAGGGTTGAGGAACCCCGGGGAGAGGCAGTGCTGATTCGTTCTCCTCCCAAGTCTGTTGCTGCCATGGTGTTGAGGACAGGAACTCATTGGCTGTTGCCATGAAAATACTCGTAAGGCCAGAGGCCTGGAAGAGCGTTATCAGAGAAGGTGGTGTATTCCCTGGAAGGTGCCCTGAGTCACCTGAGTGGACAGAATGCTGGATGTGCCTGGTGAAACTCCTTATGTGTATTTCTGAGACGCTTAAGTGTGATTTTCCAGCCTTGGTCACAAGCTTGGTGTGAAATCGCCACAGTCATTGCCTGGGCAGATGTGACTTCCTTTGGCTGTCAGGTTTTGCTCCTTGAAGAGGTGGTCAGTTTTTATGGAAGCAGAGCTGCCTTGACAATTTTTGCTCTGCTCTTAGAGGCACAAGAAATGATGCTGTGTTTACAGAGGAATGCACCACTCCCAGGTGTCCTGCCAGGTACTCTTCCCCAGTTCCACCCGATCTCTTGGCAGGAGTCACTCCTCTAATTGCTTACGCCACACTGGCCCATCTGCAGTTGTGCCGCCTGTCCTGTCCCTGGTTTTGGGATACTACCTAAGAGGAGGGTCTCTGTGGACCCATGAGCACCTCTGCCCATCCTGGGCTGCTTCACAGGGCTCTGACTGACAGGCATCAGCTCATAAGGCTCTTGCTGTTGCATGAAGTTGTTTGCTCAATTGTTTAACAAAGTGCTTTTAATGGAAACATAAAACCGGATAGAAATACAAAGCCTAATGGAATAATCTCTTAATTGCAGTGCTGTAAATGACTATTCAGCACATGATTACTGTACTTCCAGGGGGAACAGCGAGGAGGAAAGAATATTGAATGAAAGACACTAAACACTTCAGCTGCTAAGAATGATGATTTATTGCCAATCTGAGCATTGGGCTAAGCAGGGCAAATAAACTGACAATAGTAAGTGCTTTTGGAGGTAGAAATTGCCTCATTCAGGGGATTCACTGTGTGCAACATGTAAATTCTACCAGGATAAGAGCACAAAGACTGATTAATTAATAGTGGCGAGATACTCATGCATGCAGTGTCCTTAGGCAACCCAGAAAAAGTATTAATCAGCACATTGCCCAATTATTGGCAGATAACTCCTGGTATGTAGTAGTTTGCTACTTCAGCTAGAAAATACATTGTCCCTCTGCCTCCCTGTAAAAATCATGGGATTGCTGTGTTACGTGATTCACAAAAAATACCTCATGTTTTCAGGCAGCCAAGGAGATGTGCTCAGAGGCACGTTGACGTTATCATGTCAATGATAATGCCTTTCAAGATACATTAGTCCTTAGAGAAACTGTGTCCATCCTTCGAATATCTCACCTGGGTTAGGCAGCAGCAGGTGGAACAACTGTTAGCTGGGTATTGAGCTGGCTGTTGATTTGGTGTACAGCTGTGTGCTTTCCAGAATAGGGCATGGTAAGCAGGGAACACGTTCTCCAGGAGCACTCAGGTACTGCTCAGGGAGGCCAGGTAAGTGTTTTGGAATTGGCCTTGCTGGCTCCCAGCAGCACTCCCCTTTCCCAAGATGTAGTTCCTGGATTCCCGGTGCTGCCTTAGGCAAGGATGCCTGACTTCACCTTCCTGCAGAAGCCCCTGTGCCGCTCAAGCCTTTCCTGGCACGTCTGGGACGTGCCCGGTGCCTGCTGGGCTCTGCCAGGCACACACAGATGCACACCCAGCACCAGGCTTGCAGCAGGCAGCTCCGAGATTGCCAGTGTTTGCAGTGGCCTCGGCAGTGCCAAAGCCGTGCTGCTGTCCCGTGGGAACGGGAGCTGGCTGTTGGTTTGGTGCGAGCCAGAGGGTGAAGTTCCCACTGCCTGCACGCAAGTGTGGCTAATGATGGTGGAGCTGAGCACTTGCTGGTTTCTCAGCCTGCTTCCAGTACCAAGGGAAAATAGGTGCTTTTTAAACAGAGGTGCAGGTGATGTGGTGAAAACATGGCTTGTGTTTGTTTTGGTGTGGGTTTTTTAATTGTTGTTGTTTTGGTTTGTATTTTTGGTTTTGAATTGGAAAAACAGAAGTATGTTGAATAATTGTGTACAGAATTGAAATGGGAAATTATTTGTAGCCAGTTTATTATTATTCTTTAAAGGGATAGCTTTTTGCAGTTGCTAAAAGCAACAGCTTA